GTCCAGAAAGAGGGGTGGCAGTCAAAAAGAAAAATGGAGGCGGGGGTTAAAGAGCAAGCAAATTCTGGCTTTTATTACACAAGCACGAAAACAAATTCCTTTGGAAAAGAATGACTTCTTCGGAGGACTTCCAGACCAGTGAGGTAGAGTCCGAAAGGGAGAAAACCAATCTGCCCCTATAGTCCTGGAGACTTCTCAATCTGGGGTTCGGAAGCAAAGGGACTTCCCCTGTGAGTCCTGCAGTCTCCTCCTTCGCAGACGCGGTGCGGGGAGGCGGCAGAGGGTACACCTGTCCCGGAGTTCCAGATGCGGGGACGCATCCCGGGGGCGCTGGGTAGGGAGGCCATCCCGGGACTTCCTCGCACGCCTAAAGTGCACTAGGGGACGGTCCTGGTGGAGTCTGTAAACACTCGACTGACACTTGTTCATTTCTCCAAGCAGAAACTCTATCTTGGGCCTGGGACCTGCAGGAGGCGCCCTCGGGGCGGCGTCTCAAGCCCGGGGCACCGGGAAGCGGTGGAGCCTCACCACGGGTTCCAGGTCCACTCGCAGGACTTGGCGCGCCTTGCATCGCGCCGCCGCCAGGCTGCGCTCGCCCCACACGTCGCCGCCTACGCGGATGGTGGGGAAGGTGGTCAGCGTCGGGGTGGCTGCCCTCCAGGTCTCCTCCAGGGTGCGGCCCCCGAAGCAGGGCTCGGGCGCCGAGAGTTTCTCCAGGCAGGACTCCTCGGGGCCCGCCGGCGGCGGCGGCAGCAGCGGTGGCGGTGACGGTGGAGGCGGCGGGGGCAGCCGGGGCCACCTCCTGCCCGCGGCAGTCGCCCGGGCTCCGCGGCGCCTCCTCCTGGCCTCCCGGCGCGCAGCCGGCCGGCGCGTCAGGCCGCGGGAGGTAGGGGGCTCCGGGGGTCAGGCACCAGGGCTTGGCAGGAGGCGTAGCCGTGGACGTGCTTGCTGCGCAGGATGTGCGGGGAGAACTGGTGCTTGAGGCTGCAGAGGAAGCTCCAGAGCTCCGCATCGGAGCTCATGAACTCCGTGCTGCGGGCATGAACAGCTTGAAGGCATCGCCCAGCGCCTTGGTGCTGTCGGCCAGGACAGTTGCGACCGGGAGTACACCACCTTCTCCTCCCGCGCCTCCAGCCCGGCCCCTCCTCCCGCTCTAAAGCCGCCGCCCCAGGCGGCCGTGTGGCGGGGCCGGCGCCGGCGCCTCTTCGCCTCTTCACGTTGCGCCGCATCGGAGGCCACTCAAGGCCGCCCGCGCTTGCCTGGTCTCGCTGTCGCCGCCGAGCCCGCCCGAGTCTGGCTTGGCTCCGCTGTGGTGGCCTCCCCCTTTTTTTTTTTTTTTTTTTTTTTGGTACCAGGGCTTGAACTCCGGGCACTTGACCTCTGACCTACATACCCAACCCTATTTTGTAATTTTATTTAGA